ATTTAATTGGTGTTGTAGCTTGATACAATCATCAGGAGTATTTATCTGCTAATAAATTTTCAGGTCGTCAGCAAAGCATAGGCGTTCACATTCAACGGAGTCATAGAGGTCATTAATAAATATTAAAAACAGTAATGGTCCCAGGTTGGACCCCTGAGGAACTCCAGAAGGTGCCAAGTAGGTCTCAGATTGGAAGGAATTATAGCGAACAAATTGTCTACGATCGGATAAGTAAGATTTCATCAACTCCCTAGCATCATCTGTGAAACCAAGTGCACCTAACTTATTTAATAAAGTTTTGTGGTTAATTTTATCGAAAGCCTTCGAAAAGTCGGTATAAATAACGTCAACTTGCTCATTACTATCAATGGCTTCCGAGAGGTACTGCGTTATTATAAACAGATTTGTGGTTGTTGAGCGAAAGCGACAAATCCGTGTTGATGCAATGACAGCTGACGCTGGACGGCAGTGTAAATGCGACTGTACAAGACTATTTCAAAGAGTTTCGAGAACATGCATAATATAGAGATTGCCGTGTAATTCTCAATATTTGACTTATCCCCACACTTAAACACTGGACAGACCTTAGCGATCTTCCAAATATCTGGAAATCTTTTTGTTATAAGACAAATATTAAAAATCCTAGTTAGAACACCAAGAAACACTTCCACACAATCTTTGACTATAAAGGACGGGATGCCATCTAGACCAGATGTCATCTTATCCTTTAGTGATTTAATGGCCTTCCTGACTTCATTTTCCTCAATTGGATGAAAATGGACAAATAAATTACTATGATTTAGTGAGGCATTATTATGGGGCTTGTAAGTTACATAGACGTTGCTGAAAAACTCACTGAATGCGTTTACTACATATATATCCAGAGGCTGATCTATAGAATTATTTTGAAATTTCATTATCCCTGGGATTCGTGATGTGTTGTTTTTGGAGTAAACGTATGACCAAAAGGCATTGGGGTTAATTGTTAAAGAATTCTGGATATTTTCAATATATTGATCATACGCTGATTTAATCTGGTTATTTATCAAGCGGCGCAAACGTTTGAATTCTTGTAGATCATCAGCAAATGCAGACCTGTTGATTTTTTCCTAAATTTAGCTTTAAGTTTAATGTTCTTAATAATAGCTGAGTGAAACCAAGGCGGGTATCGGCGACTGTAATTCTTATACAGAGGTATGTGCCTCAAAAATTTGGAAAATGTTGCCATAAAATACATCAACAATATAATTAACATCAGAAGAGCAGAATAAAACATCCCAGTCAAATTGAATTAGCTCTTGATACAGGTTGACAATGAATATCAAAGACCATAACATACTACTTACTTTTCGTAACTCTGTAAATGAGGAAATTAAGCAGTATACACGATGATGTTACTTCGTAAGTACGTAAATTAAACGTTTTTGCAAAGTAAGACTTTTGAAGTTTTGAAATTCGAAATACACTACCTAGAGGCCCTTTTAGGGAGCCCTTATTATTGGACCATCCGGTAGATATCAAATCCACTGGTAACAGTTATTCGTTCTACACGACAAGAACGTCTGTTTCTATTCAGAATTGGATTCTTAGCGATAAAGTTTCAGCCGTCTTTCCAGAACGGCCCGTTTTCCAGAAAGGATTATTTTCAAAGGAGGAAAATGTCAACGTTCACGTTATTGCCCAATAGAAAGAACAAATAGAGGGTGAGTGGCAGAGCGTAAATATTGAAACAAGTTTCGCCTCAAAAAGTTTTATATCCTCCATGACAGCACATATTGGAAAGTTTCATGCAAATAGTAACGAGGCTTATATAATCGCTTCCGTAAACGTTTGGATATCTTAGAGAGAAGTTTGTTGTTTGTTGAGATTTGAGGCTGCTCGGGAACGACAGGGAAAGCGATATTTTTCATTCTCCAAAGAGCGTAACATCAACCCCTTATGATACTGATTAGTTTGCTTGTCCGCTGAACCTGTTCAACCATCAATGTAGTCGGAGTAGACACACAAATAAATAACTAATGGTGAGGTTACACATGCATAGTTTTAGCGGCGCCAATAGGCGTGTGCACATCAACTTGCATACAAGTTGAATCTTGGCATGCATAGACTAAAAAATTCTGTATGACTCTGAAATCACTGGCGCCACTGGCAACAGATCTTCGCGGAAAAACATAATGTTGCCTTAATTGGCGTGTGTAAACAAGTACTTGCACGGCGGTTTGCCAGTATTTAGCTTGAGTTTCGTTCCGGTAGAGCGTAGAGCTACTATTTTGTATAATATGGCTAAAAGAAAGTGGTCAGTAGGACAGACAATCAAATTTCTTGAAGGCTATGAATCATATTATTATAAAAATAAAGACGGTCGAGAAAACGCTTATCAAAAGCTTTCTGAATTAATGGATATTGAAGGCTTTGGTATTGCTGAAGTAAAAGCAAAAATACGTTCTATAAGAAATGCGTATGCTTTAGAATTATCAAAAATCAAGAAAAGCCAACATTCGGGAGCAGGAGGAGATGAATTATACACCAAGAGTGCCATGGTTTTCAGTGGCAGACAGGATTTTGAAACAAGTTGTACAAATAATAGAAACACAAGCATCAGAAATTGTAGGTTGAATTATATTTATTAAATTTTAATTTATCATTTTCATTTGCCAAGGGACAGCTCCATCACCTATAAACCGATCAGCTAACTTATTTCTGAGCTGTGCAGCATTTCTAGAATAATTACGGCTATTTGCAGTTGATCTTAAATCTCTTAGTGAGCCACTTTGAACTTTTTGTCTCCACGAACCTTCTACTATTACACTATTTTCAAAACCTTCATAGTCTACACAGTTTCGGGTTATATATCCATCAGATGTTGTTTGCAACCAGTTGTTTAACGCGCAAGTGGTTTTTACAAGAATGTCTGCTTTTTCAGGACATAACGCAATGGGTTTCTCAAATATACAAAACTTGGAAACAAGTCATCCAAATGCATTTTCTACAATACGTCTAGCACGAGAAAGCAGATAATTGAAAATCTTTTCTTTTTGTGTTAAGGGAGCATGGTGTGAGTAAGGTTTCAGTAAATATTCTTTAAGGGGAAAAGCGCCATCGGCTACAAACACTGCATTTGGAGGAAGTTTCAATAAATTATTCTCTGTTGCACTCTTCAAACTGCTTTTTGAAAATACTCCTCCATGAGATGCTTTTCCGTTTGCACCCACATCTATATATTGAAAACAGTATTGGTCGTCAACTAAAGCAAGTAATTAGTATAATACTGAATGTCCCCTTGTAATTCTGAACCTGAATGGAAAGGACTTCGCAATATAATATGCTTTCCGTCCAAAGCCCCAGCACAATTTGGAAAATTCCACCGTGCTGAAAATCCTTGAATGACTTTTTTCCATTCTTTTTCAGAGGTTGGCACCAGAAAATAATAAATTAAGTTACTAGTTAGGTACTAAAGTTGAATTTATGAATAATTTCCAACCAAACTGGTTTTTTATTTTTTTTTCTAGGTGATTGAATCACAATCGAAAGTTGATGATAGTATAGAAAGTATGCATTCTGCAACTATTGAAGAGGTATTGTAGCCTCCTTCGAATGACTCATTTGTGGCCAGAAAACCAGTCCCTCAAAAATTAACATCGAGCAGCACAGCTCCAAAGAGGATTGCAAAAAGGGCAAGTAGCACCGAGAGGGCTACAAGAAATTGCACAACAATTAGATGACAAACCTAGTAGAGCAGAGGAAAATGAGTTTGATTGTTTTGGCAGGTCGGTGACTTGTTCGCTGAAGGAGATGTCAAAAACAGTTGCTTTGGAATCAATGGCGCATATACATTCGTATCTTATACGTCAACGGTTAACATCGAATGCCCAACAAATACAACAACCTTTCTCCTCTGCCTCATCAACTAATTATGAATATGCTGCAACCCCAAGCTCAAACCGTTCATACTATGATAATAATTCTCACGATACAAATTTACATTTAAATCCTGAGCAAGAACACTCCGATATACTTTCACAGGAAATTAATACTTCTTTTTATGACGAGAAAGTCTTTCATGCCAAATTTAGCCTATTAAAATGTTTAAACTGTTGCCTATGTTCTACTGTATAATAAATATTATGTATTTGCTTACCTACCTTAATAAATTTTTTTAACAAATCATAAATGGCTTCACAAACTTCAGGGATAAACTTTGATATTTTACTTTTTGGGACACGATATAAATATTGCAATGAAGTGAAAGAATCTCCTGTTGCAGTATATCTTAATGTTACTTCCATTTTTAATTTTGGTGTTAATGCATCTCTCATGTGGGTATTCATTTATAAAATACACAATCACACAATCAAGGAGAGTATCTAAATTTTATTTTGTCATTCGAAGATGATTTTTGTAGCTCGTTGGATCTTCTACGAACAGTTCTCCTAGAAGTTTTGCAGACGCACCCAAAGTATCTCGAAGACTGACCCATGGTTTAACCCACATACGACCTTTTCGCTTGGTAGCGTTTTTTTTCTGTATTTCTTTTATTTTCTTTTTCACTAAAAGCTTAGCGACTATTTTGCAGGCTTCGCGACGTTCAGCCGACATATTGCGTACTATATTATGAAAATGAAACTGGCTTGCCAAATATTTCTGTTTTTGTACTACAGTGCAAACCTTTACTGGCATGCAAATAAACTCGCACGACGACTGGCGCCACTAAAGCCATGCATGTGTAAACTCACCTTAATTGTCTTGTCGATCGCTTGAAATCATTGAGGCATCGTCACAAGAAAAAGTCGTATCTGCGTGTTAGCATAGATGTATGAAGAAAAACTAATGAAATCAGCGTCGAATGCAATGCATTAGGTATTTGGTCTATGTCTAGAGTAACTACTAGATTTTAGGGAAAAGTGGCATTGCCTTTGAATATTTTTTACGTTCTGCTAACCTATTTTATGTTCAAACAATAATCCAAAATATACTGTATTGTCGATAAAACCTTATCTCACCATCACCGCTGCTGGCATGATGCTGGAGAACTTACCTAAAACAAAAAAAAACAAATTAGAATTATGCCATCTAGGGGACTAAGTAGGGCTTTTTGGTACCCTCGCGCAGTGTTACGCCTCTGTTCTCGGTGAAAACAAGCGGTCTATTATAATGATAATATAAAAAATATTCTTATTAGAATCAGTTTTCTTGGGAACCAGAACAAACATGTCGCACACCTAAAAAAAGTCTTGAGGCCATTATGTGAAAATCAGGGATAAGGTTGTCTCTAGGAAGGCATTTGAAGGGTATTTTAAGTAGGGCAGTATACGAGGTCTGTAAATTAAGTGACACAACTGTCCTTTTTTTAAATTTTTGATACAAATATAAATACAATTTTATATTGTCACTCTCAGAATAACTTCTTTGTGAAGCCTCACAGCTCTGGAGGCGGTTCTTCCAACCCTCATAGTAGTACTGAAACTTCGATACTGCCTTCAGCTGGTCACTTACAGGCGTTTGAATGTTTTTGACTGTCTCAAACTGCCTTGATGTGATTTTTGTACTTTTGGAAGAGAAAAATGTCTCAATGACTCAAGTTAGGCGAATAAGGAGGCTGAGGATCCTCAGGAATGCTCTTACTGGCCGAAATCTCGTTTATTGGCATTGCTGGGTGACAAGGAGCATTATTGAAATACGGTGGTGTGAGTCAAATTTACTCTTCCCTGATCATTGTGACTGTCAACCGAGGATCTGAACGCACAAGATCTCGGACTCTGTCAATACTTTATTCGGTTCTTGAAGATTAAGGCCTTCCCCTTCGTGGTTCATTCAATCGACTCTGTCCCTTCTGAAAATTTCTTAGGCCACCGAGAAACCTGAGCTCTTGACAAAACACTATCTCGGTACGCCTGCTGAAGTTTAGCAAGAGGTTCCGTTGCAATGTGCCCAAGTCTGAAGCAAAACCTGATAGCACACCGGTGCTTGAAATTGATGTCACTCGTTTTTAGAACACAATAAAAAAGCTGTTACAACCAAACGAACTTCATGCCCGGCGCCTCAAAACTTGATTTACAGACCTCCTATAAGGTTATATTTCTCAATAGCTCGCAGAACAACAACACTAGCATCAGACAGTACTTCAAGGTTCGCAAACAAAATTTTTTCCAATTGGCGCATAGGGCGGAAACTTATAACTATATATAGTATGGCCTGCCAAGATGGTGTATTTGATAATACCTTGATATACCATAGAAGGGTTATCGGTGCGGATATACCCGAAGCTAGATGCAGAAGTTGTCGACAGGCGCCAGAAACACTTATGCAACTCTTGTCAACGTGTAAAGTATACGCTGACAATGCTTACGTCTATCGGCACAACGCAGCTCTGCGAGTGCTATACTACCGTTCGAGGTACTCCTGCGGTGTAGATGACACACCTGTGCTGCCCTATGCTCCAGGAGATATTACTAGAATTGCTCGTTCCCACGGTCGAGCTGTGCAGGCGAATAAGCCCGACATAGTCCTTGGCGACCACCAACGGAAGGCGATGTTCGTTATTGAATTTTCGGCTCCGTCCGAAGTGAACAGCGTCTCGAAGGAGGAGGAAAAACGGACCTAATATCCGGAGATCCTCAATTAGCTTCGCAGGCTCTGGCCAGACCACGCTGTCAGCCTGTTAGTCATGATAAACACACTGCTATCTGCCATCAAATCCGTACCGGTATGCCGAGCATAGGCAAGCATCTAGCCGGAAGAATGCAGAAAGCGGGCATCCTCTGCCCCTTCCATCTACTTTGGCCATACGATTTGCTGACCAACTAGTTGCTTACCTCCCGATGTGAAGAGTGGCTAGTTGATAATGAAACAGCAGCTTGGTGTGGCGGAGCCCAGGTTGCCTATTTTACTTTTCTTTCCTGAATAATAATAATTATTTATTTATTTATTTATTTATTCAACTTACGGGCAAACCCATTATACATGTGTATTATAAATAGAAAAATGCACCGCAAACGTCGCGTAAGTGGCGCTACATATGTGGTAACAGTAACATATAATAGTATATAAGGCAATCAACTGAGATTAACATAATCATCTGCAAAATTTAATACAGATGTTCAAATGAGGAAATGTAATAATCTAGTAATCATAAATTCAAATATTACAAAATCAAAAGACTACTCAAATGTAAACATAGACTTTGATAAATTTCTAACAATATAATTACTCGAATTATACAAATCAAGCCAACTACTGTGTTCATTACATAGTTTAGATAATCTAAAAACAGGAGAATGATTTATCAGATCTGATTTAGGTGGCATAACATGAAAATAAACATTATTACGTCTTAATATTCTTGGTGGCACATAAAATCTGAATTTTGACAATGAACTGAAATTATCAATAATGTTATTAAATAAATTATAAGCAAATAAAACATCAATCCTGTTCCTAGCACTTTCAAGCGTTGGAATCATAATTTTCTTTGAAATATTTGTGTAGTTATGATCGGTAAAATTTATTGGCACCAGTTCTGTATGCAACATATCTTAAAAAGACATGATTGACTCTTTCAAGATAATCTATTTGATATTTAAGATAAGGATTCCAAACTACAGAACCATGTCTTAGAATTGGATATACAAAAGAATAGTACAGAGTTCTGAAGATGCTAATACTTTTAAAATCTCTTGTAAATCTCTTTAAAAAATTGATTTTTTTTATTGCGGAATTTCTAATGTGTTCAATATGATAGTTAAACGATAATTTAGAATCAAAAATGATACCAAGAACTTTTATAGAGTCTAACTTTTCTAACCCAACGTTGTCAAAGTTATAATCAACATCTTGTAAGCGACATTTACCAAAAGTAATAAAATAACACTTTTTGATGTTAAAAGGTATGCCGTTTAATATACTCCAAACAAGTAACGAATTTATATCAATTGGCACTAAGTACCTGGAATAAACAGATTTAAATACTTAATATAATTTTAAGTCACCAGCAAACAAAAAAAATTACAATGACGTATGCAAGATTTGATATCATTTATGCAAACAAGAAATAGCAATGGTCCCAAGTGAGAACCTTGATCAACACCTGATGTTACGTCAATGACATATGATATATGATTATCGATTTTGACATACTGTTTTCTATCAGTCAAATAAGACTCTAACCATTTCAACAATGCACCATTGATACTGTAAACTTCAAGCTTATTTAGAATCAAAGAAACGTTAACTACATCAAAGGCACTAGAAAAGTCTGTATAAATAGCATCAGTCGCTAATCCATTGCTCATTGCATCAACTAAATTTTCTGTATACAAACTTAAATTAGTAATAGTTGATTTATTCTTCATGAAGCCATGTTGATTTGTAATAATAAACCTTGATAAATAACAGGAAAGCTTTTCATGTACCAACTGACCAAAAATTTTTACTTACAAATTGGCCTATAATTGTTGACATCAGATTTATCACCTTTTTTGTATCATGGTTTGATAAAGGCGGTTTTCCAACAGCAAGGGAAAACACCAGATTACAATGACAAATTGTAAATTTCGGTAATAGGAATTGCGAGCAATTAGAAATCATTAACGGATGAATATTGTAAGGACCAGGTCCTGATGTAACATTTAATTTATCAACAGATTTAGCAACATCATCAATCGAGAATCTAACTGAACTCAAGCAATCATAAATATTACAATCAATTTCAGTTGTTGTCAAGTTACTATTGGAATAAACTCCACCAAATTTCTGAGCAAATAAGTTAGTAATATCTTTACCATTATCAGCAGTTTGACTACCGTAATGCATAACTGATGGGTAACCTTTTGATTTACATAAAGAATTAACATAATTAAAAAAATTTTGACTACCATCAGCTAATGAGTTCTCAACTTTATAATAATAATAATTTATTTTTCTTTAAGCAAAGTTTGTATATAAATCGTAAATATAGCAGCTATGTACAGAGATATAGCAAGGAGCATCATGCGCAAGAATTCATTTTGAAACCTTGTGGCAAATGTGGACGTTTTGCCTGTCTCTAGATAAAAACAGCCGGAGGTTGCTAATGGGACTGTTACCTGCCTATAACACGGTTACGCGTCATCTTCATGCGATTGAGGTAGCACTCGTACCGAAAACGTACCGTATAGCGCTGAATCTGTTATTCCATAATCAACAATTCCGCACCAGACTTTTGTACATTTCGGTGGCAGGATAAACAAAGGCCCTTTACACATGAATGCATTTGTTGAAATCAGTTCCACTTGCAATCAGTAAAGCTCGCCGCTAACAACTATATAAGCGTGGTAAACCAGAGAACTGGACAAAGTAAACCAGCGTGTATAAACTATCAGCATACATATGTGTTTGGAAAGTCAATTGATAATTATGTGGGTCCGGCCACCAGACCACATTGCAACGATTTGTTCATTTCTCATAGCCTATAACGAAAATGATTAAAATGATTACTGGGCGTTTGCAAACTGTAAAAACTATTTTGACCAGCAGTGTACAGAAGCTGAAAGCCTAAAAACTAAACCCACATACTCTCTAGAAAAGCAACTCAGTTAATTGGGAGAAAAAATTATATCCGCTTATATAACAGAAATAGACGTTTCAATAGATGAAGCTTTGATAGGTTGGAAAGGCAGGCTAAGTTGGAAACAATATATTCCATCAAAATGGAAAATATTTGAAATGAAAATCTTTGCTGTCTGTGAAAGTTCTACAGGATATATGTTCAATTTTACAATATACACCGGCTCTGACACTTGCTATGGAGAAATGTATTCTGAAGAACCAGTAACTGCTAATGTTGACACTCTAATGGATCCCCTACTGGGAAAAGGTTGTCTGTCGACTCTTTTTGGATAATTACTACACAATCGTCGACCTGGCTGAGAAGTTAGTACAAAATAGAACCGATTGTGCGGGGGCAATGAGATTGAATAGAAAAGGCGTGCTCACTGACATAAAAAAGAACTTTCTAAGGGTTAGACTGTTGCTCGTTATAGAAAAAAGATTATGGTCCAAAAATGGCGTGAGAAGAAAGACGTTCCAATGTTAAGCACAATACATAACAAAAGCATGGGAACAATTCAAAAAAGGACCGGCGATGTTGAAAATCCCCTGTGTATTCTGAAGTACGATAGTAAAATGAGCCGCGTAGACCTAACTGATAATCACTTGCATTTATATGGGACTACCACAAGCAGAGTGAAAAAATTCTATGTGAAGATATTTTGTCATTTTTTAGTGGGATGACTCTGAATTGCTACCACATTTACAAAAAATCTGGAGGAAAGCTAAAAAGGCAGGTGTCAGGTATGTTATAAAAAAAGTTCTGAAAGAAGATAATAATAACAATAGCAATAGTAAATGGGCTTTATTCGTCACATGATTACAAAATAATTGGCTTAAAAGAAATAGTGACGAAAAGGTGGAGTGTCAGCTTATGCTGTTTTTCAACACGACCTAAAAAACCTTGACACAAACTATAAAGAAAGAAAAAAAGTACCTTCATTTAAATGGCACAGTTCACAACATTGACCAACAAAAAGAGAAAAGCTTAAAATATTACACATCTCACAAAAAAATAGATTACCTGTGGATATGCGTAAAGTTAAATTCTAGCCATCCGATTGCTTTAAACTCATCTTTAACCCTTTTTTAAAATTGCTTAGGCTATATTCTTTATACAAGTAGCAGTTATATAGTTTAAGTGCCCAGTACGAGAAACTACGTGTGAACAATGCTGTCGAATGCCGCGGGATGAGTGAGATGCGTTTATTCCTAGATGATCTTTGATCGTACTGACAGAGGAGGGTTAGCTTTTAATAAAGATAATATGGCGCTTTCAGGAGAAGGGTCTTATGTAACAGAGATGTTGGTGTGAAGAATGTCACACTAGCTTGTGCCCTGCCCCATGTTTCGGCATATTCCACACCAAAGAGTAATGGTATGTTGGTATTTATTTTTAGATTATAAAATACTAATAAAAATATTCTATTTGCATATGTAGAAAGTTACCATGAAACATACTTTTGTTGGGTTTTTTATAAATTCTTTGTATATGCATTTTTAGACGTAAATATACGCTTTCTTAAAACGGTTTGTGTTTTCAATGGCCACAACGCATATATACGTATCCTAGATCATGTAATGGATATGACGGATATGTTGTCCTGAAGATTATTTTTATCATAAACACACTGAGTTCAGATATTAGTGCAATAATAAGTTAGTTCATGGGGGTAAGTGGGTAAACGGCACACGTGTTTCGAGTAAGTTTTGGGGTATCAGATCCTAAAAGTGAAAGTTTCTTTTAACTTTTTTGTTTCGATTCTGGAACACATTCCAGTATACGACTGATCCATGAACAGGCATCCTTCTATGGATTGAAACATCTGTTTTCCCATTCTAACGTATGTTGTTATTTCTCTTATATAATGGAGTAAATACATCTCTACTACTACTACTGCACCTCAAAAACTAATTTGGTAGAACATAAAATGTCTCGTCTTTCATTCTTCTAACCAAAGCATGCTACTTTAGCTATGCTTTTGAGATATATGTAAATTTACATTATTCAGACCAATATAACAGCTCAAAGCATATACACATAGACAAACTTTGCCTCTGAATGCAATGACAACAAAGTAAAACTTTTCCTAATAAAGTTTTACCACTTGCTGTCATTTAGTTCCGTCATAGAATATGTATAACCGCTCATACCGCCACAGTTTTGACTGGAACATTGGGAAGTATGCAGCGCGGCTGAGCTTCGCAATGAAGCTGAAAACAGCTGCTGAGCGGTAAACGTAAAGTGCATCGTGAGTGCGGCCGCCTCACCGGAGTTGCAAACAATTTAAATTTTGTATTGAGCCTCGGATAAACGGTTTTACAATGACACTTACAAATGTAAACAGCCAACAATGCTTGAACCTGCTTACTGTGGGTGTATTGTTATTCTCGTCATGTGTCGAGCAACCTCTGGTTTTGTGGGCTCCTCACGATGTTTTAAGAGGCATAATATGCAGCGTTTATCAAATTGAGTACAATAAGGCAGTAACAGTTATGTTGTTCACAGAGGGCATCAGAATTTCTCAAAATAAGGATCACCTTAGGTTCATCGTAGCTTGGGTCTCACGAGCACTATGCCTAAAAAGAAAAAAATAAATTTTTTCCATTGACCTTACTCAGGTCATTCTAAAATGTACACTAAATAGCTTCCCTGATTGTGATCAGCAAGCTTTTAAGAGATATGGAAAATCATCGAAAGAAGTTTATTCAGTCATCTGGTATGTCCGAGAACACTTATTTCAGGTACTCCCCACAGTTCTGTGAATGACAGCCCTCTACAAGCAGAATGACCTCCAGCGACTTCCTATCTGACTCTAATCGGATCTGGTTCCTTTCTAGCGGTATACCAGAACACTTTGCTCCTTACAGCTCTGCTCCACGATGACACTAGACTTGCCGAACGGGCTTGCTAGGCTTCTGCTTGCAACTCTACCGAGCTTTGTACCGGCACGGGTATTACGTACCTTGAAAAGTGACATTTCGTCGGCTTTTTTTTGATATTTCTTAGGTTTTTCTGCAAGATGTTAACTTAGCAGAACCTGTTGTACACTTGTTTTGAACTCATTTTGTAGCCGTACGTGTTGCTTAAACGATAACGAACAGCGATCATAGCGAGCAAACGTGGAGTGAACTATTTGCACACTAAAAACCACCTAGTCTGCAAGATGACTTTTCGTCGGTCTTTTTTTGACGTTTTTTTAGGTCTTTTACATATTACCCCCGCGGGTCACCAACCTAGAGCTAAAATTTAGGCAATTTTATAAGAAAAATGGCCAAGAGGAATTCCTGAAAATTATTTTCAGCTTTCTAGAGTTGCCGTTAGGAGGCGTATCTCCAATCTCAAAAATAGAAATGGCGATTTTTGCGGAACAATCCGCAATATAGACAACACACAGTTATATTATGATTTTCATATCAGTGATGCATGTCCTTCTTTTGATTTGATTAGCAATGATCTAAACACCATGCATCACATTCTGGCTACTCATAATTGTTCGTTCATTGAATGCTTCTGAATCAAGAGCTATGATTTCTGTTCAGAAGCAAAAACGGATTATAGTAGAAAGTTTATGTCATAGCCTAACAATTATACAATACAATACAATATATTACAAAGTGATGGCGATATATACAGTGGTTTTATATATTATACTAAAATAAAACATGTATAGGTTTTCTTATGCGGTACCTAGATAACTTAATATCCATATGCACCAATCTTAAATAATGTGTAATGTATCATTTTAATAATAAAATAGTAAAATAAATAAAACAAAATAAATCCTGGTCAAATAATTATTTGACAATCTGTATAATTACAATGTCATGCCAACAATGTCAACCAACTCAGAATTTAAATTCCTAAAAAAAAAACATAAAAAAATGATCAGAACATTTGCATATTTAGCTAGCAAAGAGCTATGAACCTATAAGGGTTTGCCAAAACAAATGATCTACATTCTGAACTAAACAATTTTAATTTATTTATCATCCTCAGTGTCCCAGGCAAAATGTTGTAGATTTTCGGACCAATATATAGTAGTCAATTGATTTTAAGTTTATGTTTGTGAAACTATTGGGTAATATTAAATTTCTGTCAGCATTGTTTCTGGTTGAATAAGGATGACTAACATATTCTCCTATTAAAGGATTTTTATACATAAAGGAGCAAACTACTAAAATATACAATGGCCTTACAGCAAGTATTTTTTCACTATAAAGATGACAAGTAGGATATCTTTTGTTTTTTCTAAAAATTATTTGTAATTCTGGATAGCTTTTAAAGGTTTTAATGCTGTCTCATATAAACTTCCCCAGACAATTATCCCGTATCTGAGTAACGACTGTTTAAAATTTCTCTGATCATATAAAACTTTCTAATTAGTTTTTGCATATTGTTAGTTAACCTAAGCACATGTTGCTTCCATTTACGATTTTGATCTGTTATATATATTTTATTTCATTTTCAAAACTGTTTACTTGTATGGTGTTAAAATTTGGTCGAATTGCAGATGTTAAGGAAAATATTTTTTGAAATGGTTCTTGTAAGCTTAAGTATCGCAACTGAGGTAGTGATGCCATTGCGAAAACCAAATTGATTTCCTGACAAAACATTATTTCTAGATAAAAAGCTTGATAATCTCTCTTTAAGACACTTTTCGAATATTTTAGCGAAATTCGTAATAGCTCCAATTGGACGAAAATTGGTAATTCTAGTTTTATCTCCAGATTTATATATTGGGGTAACAAGAGTAGTTATATAGCATTGGGGTACACAGCCAGTTTTAAAAATGAGATTTATGATGTGTACTAATGGCTCAATTAAGTACAAATGATATTGCTTTATAATTTTCGGTTGTATTCCATCAAAACCGGGTGAACAGTTGTCCAGTACATCATTGTTCAACGTTATTAAAGTCTTTAACACATCTTAGCCAGTCGTACCTTATACCTCCTCATCCACGACATCCAAAAGCTCTCCGATCTCGACTTTATGTCTATTAGTATCCACGACACCCTCCATAATTTATTTTACTTCGCAGAATTTGTATGTGGTAGTTGTAGTTTGGGCAATCGAGACGAGTGGTCTCATGACTAACGTCATACCTCTATTCCAACTTTGACCATCATGCGAATTCATTACGTCAAAATCTTAGGGTAAAATCAAACAATTATATATTTAGTTCTTCAACGACATTTAGTAAATAATTGAAGTTGAAGTTACAAAGGTGTGATTCTCTAATAATTTGAGGTATATCCTATTGTGACGCTGCATATGGACCCGGTTTACTACAATATGATAAAATTAAGATGCAGCGACTGCAAAATTTTCATTATGGTTATTGTCTAATGTAACCAGATAAGTCACGTTTATAAGGATAACAGTGAACTGAATCTGAAAGGTGGCACCTTGTACATAAACTACATAAATACCGCTATTATGCTGGAGTACGGTTCATCAGTACATTTTTTGCATGGTGTAGCTATTCAAAACCCTGGCTCACTGTTTTAGTGATTAAAGCAGGTCAAAGCGACCAGCCGCTCACCAATTCAGAACAAAATTCATTCATTGAAAGCAACAGCTTCTATGGCTCAAAGCCCTCTGGTCGAGTGACAAGTTCTGTTAGGCGGGCCGCACACAGATCGAAATGTTTCGAAATAAACTGCAGATCCTTTTGAGAAAAATGCCGTTTCGTGTGTTGAACTTGGCGTGACGGCCCCTAGCAGCCGTTTTAGAAACTGTATACTTCAATCAATTTATAATGGCAACTTTTGACAAAAATATGTTTGTCGTTCTATGTTGAGTGGTTCACATGATACAGTATGCGTCCGTTTATTTTGAATTACCCTGTATCTGCCATATGTCCATTTAGGTCATTTAGGTCATCCTGATTATATTTTGCGGTGTTTGCATCAAAGGACATATTCATGGATTATCTGACAGTAGACAGTGCTGTCAAGCACAACACATTCTTGCTAAAAACATATCGAGTTCTTATATGTATTGTGGGTCTGAGTTTGAGGCGAATCTCATAAACAAAAACCATACTGTTGAATACTGTAGTTCTATCAAAGCTCTATGTTTAATCTGAAAAGATGTTGAATATAACGGAGAGGAAAACAAGGTTGGCACCATCGAATCTGAGATCCAACTTGACAAAAATTAGAACTTCATGGATTTATTGTCAATGTAAAACAGGTATTATACTACTATTGCAGCAGTAAAGATATTATACATTCTTTATTGAATTCTTCTAAATCATTCATAGTCAGCTTTCTTTAATCGAATGACTAATTTCTAACTAATTAGCCTATTAGCCACATCGTGCAATTAATTATCGTAGAAAGTGATCCTTCATATATTTATTATGTAATTTATTTTTTATGTTCCCATAATTACGACTAATTTACAATAAGACATGTCACCTTAATCATAGACCTTTTAGGAAGCCATGTCCGCTAAGCATATGCATACAGCTTAAACGGAAATGCACT